TTAAAACAGGACTACAACAGTAACCAAGACAGAACCAGAATCAGAACTAGATGATAGTAGCACTAAAAATCATCATAGACCTGCACTACACTTATTTTTTAATTCTACCAAAGTACAATATTTAGATTGAGAAAAGTTTATATAATTATTTAGCCTTGTTGTGCAAACAAGCCTGCATAACTTAATAAATATAGAATTTGAAAAGTAACAAATGGTATCTAAAAAGAAACACTAGGTACTAGATACATGTTCTGATGAGTTTTGGCAAACAACCATTTGACTAACATGTGTGTCTCACCTGCTCTTGTTCCCTCTCTGCTCCTCTCTCTCCCTCTTTGTGCTGACAATCAAGCCAAACACCAACATCATCAAATATACAGTTGAAACCAGATATTTATGTACTCTTCAGATAAAAACACAAACACTTTTTTAATTGTAACATCAAATCACATGGACTCTACTAACCTATCAGAAGCTTCTTTAGCTCAGAATGGAATCGTCTGGAGTTTTCTTATTAATTAACAATAAACTTAGTGTATATGTACTCCTAAATTTGATGAAAGTGATTAAAATAGACAGCTCCCTCTTTTTATTCTGACATTTAACTAATTCAAAAGATATTTCAACATTTATTTATCTAAAACAAAAGTTTACTCTAAATTGATGTTTAACAGTAAAAAAAAGTTTTTATGTTTTCTCCATAAAGTGTATGTAAATATCTGGTTTCAACTGTGAATATACTGCTGTGTATTGAAATTCCTCTTGTTTTGCATAGATATACTGAACAACATCCAAAGCATAATATATAAAATAACATCTACCTGAGTTTTTTCTTTGAAAGAAGCTCCTTATGTCCATTGTTGTGTTCATCAGTACACAACTGAAACCGATTTAGAGAGTTTGTTTAGCCGTGGAGGGTAACAACTGAAAATATGAAATGTAAGCTAAGACTAAAAAATCAGCATTGCTGTTCGGCTTTTTATTTATCCATTTGTTGATTCACTCGAAGAGCGAGTAACGCAACCAAGTGATCAGTTTGATATCAATCTTTTGTGATACACCGTCATATTTACATTATTAGTTCAGTACGAATGATTTGCTTTGGTACCTGGTCAAACTTAAGCTCTCCTCTGTCTGCAGCAAATTCGCAGGCAGCAGCTTCTCCCCCCTCGCTCACATGGGTGCTGCGCTCAGTCGCCTAGTGCCTGAGCTCGGATCATACCAAAATTAGGGGGAATTTACGACGGTGCGCTCTGTGCTTCGTGTGTTGTTTTTGGGCTTAAGCCCAGTAAGCCCCCCCCCCCACTCCGCTGATGGTTGACTCCAAATCTCCCGAACACTATGTCGATTTGAGAACGCAAGACCGAAACAGCGAGACCAAGACCGAGACCAAGACAAAAGTCCGTCGAGACCAAGACGAGACCAAGACCACGTAAAAGTGGTCTCGAGACCGGTCTCGAGACCAAGACCGGTCTCGAGACATCCAACTCTAGTTAGCTGCTCCAGACAGCCACGGCGAGAGGGGGGGCTCGCTCAACACGAGTCCAGTCTCAGCTCCTCTTTGACCTCCACAGCTGAGGCTTTGAATGCGGGATTGTTGTTTGGACACAGATTCATGTTAGAAACGCTCCAGCTTCATGCAGCTGTCCACGATGCAGCGTTCTCCTAAACGCTGCTCGGAGGGCACAAACTGTCCTCAGCGCGCCTGCAGAGCGTCAGCTCTATAATGTCCTCATCAGCGAGGAGAACCTCCTGCATGTGTGACACCAGTTTGAACTAGAAAGCATGAGGCCCTTCATTCTTTAACATCAAACATCTACGGTCCATAGAGCCAACAGGAAAGAGCCGCTCACGCTCCGCGTAGATACAGTTGGAGGTCCGTGTAACCAGAGCTGGACCTCGCTTCAATCAGCCTGTCACTGGAGCGCTGATGACCTCCACATGCCTCGCATTAGAATAACCCTCCCCCAAATCCGCCTCCACTCACAGGGCCTCGAGCATTTGGCCCGTGATTAAACACAGCTCTGAAATACGCTCGTGGGCGAACACATGTTCATACATGTAGACGGAGAGAGGGAGGCGTGAGCGTCCAATAAATGAAGCCCACACAGATCCAGAGCTGCTTTTGCTGCCTGGAGGACGAAGCAGATTTATCTGCAGCACCTTGGAAAAGAATCGAGAGGAGTTTGAAATCTTTATTAGCTGCAATCAGCTGGTGAAATTCACTGGAAGTGTGTGGCAGCAGGAGACGGGAGGAAACCATGACTCAGGACAGATCACTAACATATTAAACTCTTTATTCATCGGGAACTAAAAGCCAGTAAAACCTTCTGGTTTGTAGTAGCCACGCCCAAATCCTCACTCATCCAGGACGCACGTTAGTCAGATACGTTATTTTGGTTTCACGGCTCACCTGCACGTCGTGCACGATTGTGTCGCCGTGTGAACAATTCGTCCAAGACGATGGTCCTCTGTCAGTAAACAACGTTCTTCGTTCTCACTGCTGTTCGTGAATCATGCGAGGACGTGCACGCCGCCCACGCCTCTGATAGAGATCTAACAGGTCCGTCCCTGCTGGGACAGGCAGGAGAAGATGGACGGCTGTGCAGCGGTAACAGCAAACACCCGAAGCTAATGAGGCTCATTAATCCCACAACTCTGATTAAAGTGCATCAGAGCGGCTCACCTGTGTGTGGATGACCGTCCTCTCGTCGCCTCGGTGAACCCAGCCCGTTCTGCTTTGGAGAACCTCTCGGGCTCCTCCAGATGTGATGACCTTCTGGCGTGGACCTCGGTCTTCAGGTCAGCCCACAGTCAGACCGGACAGTAGCACTCGCTTTGGTCTTCTGGAGGTCGTTCGTTGCAGTATCACAGTGTAATCCTGCCACTGCTTCCCTGTGGGACATGAACCTTTCTCCGGGTCGTCCTCGGCACACTGCAGTCTGACTTGAAGGTGTCTCTTCTGCAGAAGTTTTTGGCGTCCGTTCCTCTGCAGGGTTCTAGCGATCGTCTCCTTTGAGACTAAGATTCTCATCTGGGCTGACCCGTTCGCTCGCTTCTTCTCAGCTCTTTAGACTCATCGATTTTTCATCGTCATACATCCACCTCCTGCTGTGTGAGCATCACCAGATCTTTGTCTCAACGCCGGATCTGATTTCTTTTGTTTTTGTCCTGATGTTCTCTCAGTGACAGCTCCAACCTGTTTCGTACTGTGCCTCAGTTTGAACTTTGTTCACAGCAGTGCTTCGTGCTGTGAGTCACTTAATAAAACTGATCCTGGTGATTTTATAATTCTGTGCAAATAGAAAACGTTTGTTTGAAATGCTTTGCAGAAAAAAAGCACAAATGCAAACAACGTGTTGACAGCTTCTTAAACTGTTGACATGTGGATTCTGTCATCTGTGCTTTATGGTCTGATTTGCATGTAAAATTTCTGAATGTGTTTGGTTAGCATGTGGCTAAATGCATGCTAACCATGACCCAAACCTGCAACACCAGTCTGCTCCTCTCATCGTTCACTCCTCAGTGTTTGTCCTGCTCTTCTAATGATGGTAACTGAACACGGACAGATTAAATACTGATGTTGTTTTGTTGTGAGGTGATCTGAGCAGGAGTTCAGGGAGGACAGAGTTTGAAATGAGGAAGTAAACAGAGAGCAGAGACTTTATGGAGGCGGGCGTGAGACAAGAAAGTAGAGAGGCAGTAAAAACCGGCAGGGAGCTCCTCTGCATCTGAAGCACCATCGTCCAGAGAACATTTAAAATATTCTCTCATTCATCCGGCCTGTGATGTGGCCAGACACTGTCTGCTGCCTACAGATCTCAGGAAATGGCACCGTGAGGCCGTGAGGAGAGCCAGATGATGCTCTGAAGTCTTCTGGCTGCAAACACCAGAAAGAGTCTGACTCATCTGGCTGCTGAGGCTGTGGAGCTGCACGTGGAGATATCGCGTTTGGCCCAACGACAGCAGAAACCAGCCGAGGATGTCTGAGGGTTTAGCCTGTTTTACACAGACTGTATATAAAAGATGGACATAGCCACTGGTTGGTGTGGTGCTGACGGTGGATACGAGTAAGTGAAGGACACAGAAGCATTTCATTAACCTTAGAGCGTACCCCTCGATCATCTCGCTCGTCCTTTCTGCTCTAACGGGATTCGTTTCCAGAATTATCCTCATGGTTTTAATTACATCCGAGCTGAAACCAGCGACTGAGACCTCATAGTTCCCTGAGCTGTCAGACCAGAAACACTTCAATACAGGAGTCGCCCCCTGCTGGACATTAGAAAGAACCCAGGTTTAACCCGCTAACAGGCTTCCCGCCTGGATGCTACGGATGCTGCTCCATCTGGATTCACAAAATGCTTTTGACTAAATTACAATTTCCTGATTCCTGCTGGCTCCTCCCCTGCCGTGTCCACGGCAACGCTGATGTTATTCAAACTGAGCGTCACATCTTATTTCCTGTCAGTGCGCTCACACACGCCGAGTTTTAATAGTTTCCCCGTGTCTGACACTGGTTTACAGACGTCGCACAGACGTGATTGGTGACCTCGCAGCTGTCGGTCGATGATTTGTAGCTTTTATTGCGGTGCTGCGGTTCTGGTTTCACAGCACCCCGAGGAGATGAGTTCATGGCTGCGAGCAGGAATGTGTCGTTTCAATAATTATACTGAAACTTTCAACATCAGTGGGCGAGACACGCTCAGCAAACCATTTCAGCTTGATTAAAAACTGACCAATCAGGACGCTCCATCATCATCATTATGAGCTGCATCTCACGTCTCAGCTCAGAAGCGGGGCTGGAAGTGATTTACTTTACTGGATGCAGGAATTTTTGGATGGCTTCTTTACTGTTACAAGATTGGGAAACATCAGATGATTCCTGTCATATCTTGACATGCAAATCCATATTTCCTGTGTGTGTGGAGGGAGGGTTCATCCTCGGCTGCAGATGCAGACTGTGGACCGTTCTCCTGATGCATGCTAGTTTTGATTTTCATGCCTTACGAACACTGTGTGCATTAATAAACAACATGTCGTCCATTCATGTTCATTCATGAACAATTTATTAGACGAATCCTTCAAACCTTTATTTAAAAAATTTAAGTTACACATAATTGTCCAATAATTTAACCTGGACGATTGTAAGTATCTTAACTGGGGCTGAAATATCCCATAATTATCATAAATATTCTTCCTCCCCTCGTGTCTCTGCTGTGTTTCTGTCTCTGTTATATAACGAAATCCTGTTTTGGCACAAAAAGCTTCTGCAAACATCTACTCAGCCTCACGTTCCTCGTGGAGCAGATGTTTGAAGCAGCTCCCGCTGTGATGGAGCTGCTTCCAGATGTGAAACAGACTCTGTTTCTGTCGCAGGTACAGAGAAACCCGATCCAGCATGGAGTGGAGGCGGGCTGCTCTGGTCGGCCTCATCATGGCGGCGTGTTTCTGCAGCAGCGGCGCTCAGACAACAGGTGGGTGTGATTATGCAGCTTATGGCTCCACTTCCTGCGTCCTGGTGAAAGTATGACATCAGTGGAAGCTGTTTATACCATCCATACACACACACACACACACACACAAACACACACACACACACACACACACACAGGTAAGTTTTGAAGTTCACACACGGAGCACTAACCCTGCACAGGAATGTGTTTGCAGCTGAGCACGTGCACACGCACAATTAACAAGCTCACAAACGCACAAACACAAAGCTTCGACTGGTGTCTGGTTGCATAAAACATTTTCCTTCTTAGGTCTCAGGCTCCAGATTAAAACTTCCTCCACTGATCCTGTCGTTCCAGCATCGCTGCCACACAGAAACATTTAGTATCTGTTTAACCACAAATCACTTCTCCAACATTATGTAGAGCTGGACGTTTAGGTGCAGTCCATGGTCGCTGTCAGTAATTAAACTAATACATAAGTTATCCCTGAAAAATGTAGCATTAACTTGTGGATGATGACTGGAAATAAAAAAGCAGATTGAAGTTAGCAGCGTGTAGCCAGGAAATGTGATTCGTCAGCAGTGCTGAGACGTCTGCACAAGGGATGAAGTCCACTAGAAGACAGAATACATGTGTGTGAATGAGAGGGGGGCAGGTGAACATGCAGGAGCAGAAATGGTGAAGGTTTAACATCCACAGGACAGAGTGCAGGCAGGGTGGAGCGGGTGGAGGCAAATGTGACTGAAGGATAGCAGCAAGAGTGAAAGGGAAGGTTCAAGGATGGAGGTGAGACTTGGGACAGTGGAGCTGAGCTGAAGGTGTTCAGTGAGCAGGATGGAGGGAGGGTGGAGAATGAAGATGCAGCTGCAGGCAGGAGAAGAGGAAGACGCTGGGATAGGTTGAGGTGGATGCAGATGATCCACTGTGAGCAGCAGAGAGAAGGAAGGCCCGGTGCGTGGCTCTGATTGGCTCCTCGGGGTGTGTCCCCTTCTTCTCCACACGCCCGTTTTACCATAATCAAGCTGCTGATGAGGGAGCAGTTTTCTGGGTTTGAAAAGTTGTCCAGCAGCTGTACTTTAAAAAGGGCCTCTGTAAAAATAGATCTGACTCGCTCTTATTCACCAACGGTATCTATTAAAAATGGGTGAACCTGACCTGTAGTGCTGTCATTGGGCCTTTGCTGTATTACAACTGGAGCACGCTCACGTTTAACGTGTTCAAGGTGTTTCTGAGACGGCCCCGAATTATTAGGGTTAGTGTGGAAATGTTTTTGCAACCAGGCACATGAATGAGATGAGAGGGTTAAAGGTCGGGGTTTCGTTAGCAGTCAGGTCACTGCTAACGGAAGCAAAGCTTTCTGAAGGCAACCAACACCAGCTGTAAGCCACACGCCGCTTTTTCTCATTTTCCTCACGCTTTTCCACCCTGAAGGTGAGTGCTGTCAGCAAGCATCCCTGCTGCAGTCCAGAGGCTTTTCACGAGCCGGCAGCAACATGCCCATTTTTCTTTTCCAGCAGTCACATGGCACAGCCCACCTCTGTTGTCTATAAGCCACGCTGACACCTCACGTTGCCAAATGTCCTCAGCTACTGAGAGATTTCCTTTTAGCGTCCAGCAGTTCTTCCCCGTGACTTAAAGACCTTTCCTCTTAGTCTGTACCGAAGAGGCCGTGGCAGACATCGTCTTCCTGGTCGATGGCTCGTGGAGCATCGGCGCCGAGAACTTTGAGCAGATCCGCCAGTTTCTGTTCACGCTGGTCGATAGCTTTGATGTCAGCCCTGATCACGTCCGCATCGGCCTTGTCCAGTACAGTGACAATCCACTCACAGAGTTTCTGCTCAACACCTTTGAGAACAAGGACGACATCCTCAACAACATCATCAAACTGCCTTACAGGGGGGGCGGCACCATGACCGGTAAAGGCTTGGAATTCATGTCGAACGAACACTTTGTGGGGAAAGCTGGAAGCCGAGCTGCGCAGAAAGTGCCGCAAATTGCTGTGGTGATCACTGATGGCAAATCCCAAGACGATGTAGAGTCTCATGCTAAGAACCTGAGGAGAAGAGGGATTGTTTTGTATGCAATTGGTATCAAAGATGCAGATGCAAGCCAGCTGAGGGAGATTGCAAATGACGATCAGCATGTTTACAGTGTGTCAGATTTTGCAGCGCTGCAGGGAATTTCTCAGAACATCATCCAGACGCTATGCACAACTGTAGAAGAAGCCAAACGACAACTCCTGCAACTGTCTCCAGGTAAACCCCAAAAGCTTGATTCTGTTCATCTGGACATGGTGTTTTCAGAACGTTTGGTCACTCATCCAGGTGACTTTATCGGTCTCAGCTGACTGCAGGTTTGAAACCAGCCCGCTGACTAACAATGGGCTCATGAACTAACAGGTTCATCACCATAAACATGCAAACTGTCGTCTCAAGGTAAAATAAGTCTGAGTAGAAAAGTGTTATATGAGAACCAGTCCATTAACCATTTATTAAATATAAAACCGGGAAAGCCCCGCCCAAAGTTTTTATCTTTCTCGAGAAATGTAGGTTTCACTGACTTTCCTCTCGTGTTCCTGACTTTCTTCTTCTTCTTTTCCAGAATGTGCCAGAGCCACCGTGGCAGACATCGTCTTCCTGGTTGACAGCTCAACTAGCATTGGCGTTGATAACTTTGAGGAAATTAGGCAGTTTCTCCGAAGTTTCATTTTAGGCCTTGACATCGGCCCTGACAAAATTCGGATTGGCTTGGCTCAGTATAGCGACGAGACCTACCAGGAGTTTCTGCTGAAAGATCACATGGACAAGGATTCTCTGCTGGCTGAAGTCGATCAGTTTCCATATCGAACAGGAGGCACAGAAACAGGAAAGGCCATTGACTTCCTCCAGTCAGTGTACTTCACTCAGGAGGCAGGGAGCCGGGCGAGCCAGCGAGTTCCTCAGTTTGCTGTAGTCATCACAGACGGGGACTCCACGGATGACGTAGTCGAGCCCGCCAAGCGCCTGCGCGATCAAGGAGTTATCATATTTGCCATTGGGGTGGGAGATGTTAACAAGCAGCAGCTCGAGTCTATCGTAAACCTACCTGCACACCACTTCCTTTACACTATCGATAGCTACCAGGCTCTACAGCGGCTAACAGACAGTCTGCTGCAAACTGTATGCATCTCCGTGGAGAGTCGGAGTCAAGGTGAGACAAAGAAAACGTCCTTACAGAATTGTTTATTATAAGAGAAGGAAATAAATACCTGAATGCTGCTTAGTTCTATTTTCACTGGTCAGGGATTTAAAATGTAACTGCGTCAGAGGATTTCTGCTCAGTTTGCATTGATAGCAATCGGGAACGTATCGGCTGATCATTTAGAGATGTTAGTCGAGTTACCCGCAAGCTGCAGCGGAACCCCTGAAGGCTTTTCTCATCCACCACTCAATGTGTATGAAACAGATACGTTCTTTGCTTTAAAGCGAATAGAAAGAAAACCCCCGACAGTCAAAGACAACATGTTTTCAGTGTAACAAATGCCACCCCTCGTTCAAACGTGATTGGTCAGTAGCACGTGGACTCTAACGTTAGATTTTCTGACATTCTTAATTCAGTCTTTATTATTTATTATAATTGAAGAAATTAGGTTGCTTAACTTACACTTCCTTATTTTTAATGACATTATGACCAGTTTTTCTTTTTTTTTAACTGGTTAACCATCACTGCTGACTATAACTTCTTTAGGTAAACTTAACGGACCATTGTCCAGCCTTGCTGGAGCCCATTGCAGCATAACTAAGGGAGGATTCAGGGTCACCTGGTCCAGCCCTAACTATATGCTTTAGCAAAAAGGAAAGTTTAAGCCTAATCTTGAAAGTAGAGATAGTGTCTGTCTCCTGAATCCAAACTGGAAGCTGGTTCCACAGAAGAGGGGCCTGAAAACTGAAGGCTCTGCCTCCCATTCTACTTTTAAATACTCTAGGAACAACAAGTAGGCCTGCAGAGCGAGAGCGAAGTGCTCTAATAGGGTGATATGGTACTACAAGGTCATTAAGATAAGATGGGGCCTGATTATTTAAGACCTTGTATGTGAGGAGCAGGATTTTGAATTCTGGATTTAACAGGAAGCCAAAACAGGAGAAATCTGCTCTCTCTTTCTAGTCCCTGTCAGTATATTATAGCACCTAAGTTAGTACCCTAATATGGAGAATATGATCCGTCGTGCTGTGTCCTCTCTGAGTGGTTTTGGAAAAAACACAAAAAAGGAAATTAGAAGCAACAAATGCATGGCTCTGAGACAGCGTGTGTCCAATTTTAAAAATATTGTGCAGATGAAAGAGAATCGTGCCATCCAGGGCAGGGTTGTGGTTACAAACTGAAATTAAAACGACAACAATTCCAAACCTTTGTCTTTTAGACCTGCAGGTAGTTTAATTTCATATAAATGGAAATGCATATAATAATAGTGAAGGACTGTTTTCTTCTTAATTTACAGCGTTGGCAGAAAAGTTTGCAGACATTTTCTTCCTGGTGGACAGTGGCATCAGTCAAGCAGATTTCCAGCAGGTCAGAACCATCCTGGTCCGACTGGTCAATCAACTCAACATTGGAGCTTCTGGCAACCGTCTCGGACTGGCCCAGTACGGTACGGTTACCAAAGTGGAGTTTCTCCTTAATGCTTTCCAACCTTTCCAGATCAGTTTTGGGTCTGGTTGAATTGGGGTTTAGTCCTGTGTCTTGATACAGGCCCGACTTTGTTCTGCCTTGCTGCTTAATTAAAAAACTAGTTTAAGGTGTCCTGAATATGTATATAGAATAGCATCTGGCTGCAGTTTAAAGACTTTTTTTGTCTCGTCTCGACTCTGTCTCGGTCTTGGTCTCGTCTCAACTTGGTCTTGGTCTTGTCTTGGTCTCGGATTAGGCGGTCTTGACTACAAGTCTAGCTGAAACTAAGAAATGCTGTCTGACCACAGAGGTCTCGTGCCAGCCCACATGAGCTGACGGCTCAGTTCAAACCCTGAATCCAGCAGCCAAGTCCCCCCTCTTCGATGGTCCGCCCCACATACGAGTGAACTGTTTACCTGCTTTAACCTGCTCACTGTCGCTGTGCGTCTGCAGGACGCTCTGGAACCCACGCCCACCCCAACCTCTTCTTTCCAGCCTCCGTCTGACTCAATGTGCTGCTCGTTTCTCCAGGTGTTGCTGCTGAGCCCGTTCTCATCCTCTGGACGTCCAATGGAAACACCTCCGAGCATCAGCCTCGCATCCCTGTGGATGAGCGGGGTTACTGCTGTGATGGGGCAAAAGCTCAGCCTGGTACTTGAAAGTGAAATCCTGGACTGAGCAAATCGATCTGAGCAGTGGCTGAACTTTTGATTTATGCCAACCTCCAAAAGCTGACTCTGCGATGTCAGCGTGTCCCTGCGTGTCCTGAGGAGGAGGCGTCTGACAAAAACAGCTCTGTATTAATCACATCATAAATGTGCATCTCACACAGCGTTAATAGCTCCAAATCTATAGAGGTCAAAGGGTTTCATGATGTCACAGGAACGCTCATCAGCCATCTTTTAGCGATGAATGAAAAAGGAGAAAGGAGAGGCCCGACAGCTACATGTGTGCAGGTAAAGTGAGACTGGACGTCACGCTTGCTCTGGAGCTCAGACAGGAGCGTTTTCACGATGCAGAACATGAACGAGCTTCACTGAAACGGTCAGGAGGACCTGGAGCTGCTCCCGTGAACAAACACAGGCTAATGCACGCGGCCGATGCTAAACCTGCACTTCCATCCAGACAGAGAATAAACACCACACAGCTGAAACAGTCGCACACCTCTGCTGTGACCACACAGCGACTTCTTTAACGTCTCTGTTGGGGTGAAGAGAAAAGGAAGAGATGATGGACGATGAACGGCGAGCAGGGCGAGGCCTCAGAGCAGAAAGACAGAGCGTCTGTCCCTGTCAGTCTTTGTCTCATTTCACCAACCTGTTAAAGGTCATCACAGACCAGTTCATTCATGCTGACAGAGTTTGTGGGTGTGTCGTAGAAATGTGACAGGAGGGAAAACGTGACTGATCCTCTGAATTATTGGTGGTTATCCACGTGAAGTGACCACTGAAGTTCGGCCATCTTTCATTCATATATGAGCTTCAATCCTGAAGATCGCTGCACAGAGTGTCACTGCTAGGAGTCTTTCTCTGCACCACAGTCACTGGGCTTCCTCCCTGTCTCTGCAGACTCGGTGCTTTGGCCTGAACCGATGCTGCAGACCGTTTGTGCTCTGCTGTTGTTGTTGCTCCTGCGATGCCTCTGCAGGGAGCGATCCAGCGTCTAAATGGAGCGTAACATTACATGGGGCGGCGGTTTGCACTGAGCAGAAAGAGCTGAAGACAAGAAAATAATGAGGCTCAAATGTCCGTCAGTTAATGTCTCCTGTTCCATGCCTAACATGAAGCCTGCCACCAACACTGAACCTAAATCGCCTCCTGGCTCCAGCAGCCATCGCGCTCGCCAGGAGCAGAGGTGGACTCGGGACTGTTTCGGGTCTCAGACAGGGATTACCTGTCCAGCTGGAAGCAGTCTGGCTGCTCGGAATACTTGGCTGAGTTTCCCAGCACTACTAACATCGTTAAGCGAGGGTCTAACAGCGACCACCATCAACAACAACGCATGGTTAAAAATTCACAAACACAATTTAATGATCACTGTTTGTTTTCAGCTGCCAGGATGCACGAAGAGGCAAAGACCGAGCAGCAATTAGGACTGACCCTGGAGGAGATTAGCGACCTCCACAGATCCACATCTTGAGAGCACATGTCTGAACAGAGACGACTGTCTCACTTCAGCCTTAAGATTCTCCTGCTCTGATGATCCAGCTCATCAGATCTGAGAGTCTGTGTTCAGGTGACATGTTTGCCAGCTTGAAGGCCTGTGGTACATAGCTGATCATTAGAGATAGGTTGATCATATTTAAGATCGAAGCATTAATTAATGGCAGGACTTCTTTGAGCAGTTTTGTAGGAATGGGGTCTAAAAGACACGTTGATGGTTTGGAGGAAGTAATTATTGAAGTTAACTCAGAAAGATCAATTGGAGAAAAAGAGTCTAACTTAACATCAATGGTACTAAGAGTAGCTGTAGATAATATTACATCTGTGGGATGATTACTGGTAATTTTTTCTCTAATGATAAAAATTTTATTTGTGAAGAAGTTCATGAAGTCATTACTAGTTAACGTTAAAGGGATGGTTGGCTCAACAGAGCTCTGACTGTTTGTCAGCCTGGCTACAGAGCTGAAGAGAAACCTGGGGTTGTTCTTATTTTCTTCAATCAGTGATGAATAGTAAGATGTTCTGGCTTTGTGGAGGGCTTTCTTATAAAGCAGCAAACTATTTCTCCAGGCTAAATGATGATCCTAAATTTGTGACACGCCTCTCCATCAGGCATTCTGCACCAACCAGCAGGTGGTGGGCTAGAAGAAGACGTGAAAGTTTACGTGAGAAGACATAAACTTTCAAAAAGAAAAACGCGCACAGTCTGAGTCACTGCAGTTTTAATGTTTAGAGTGAAGAATGCACAGCTTGAAGCTCTGCTGCATGATGTAAAGTCTCTGTCAAACACACAGGACCCCCGGGCGCCCGTGGGGGGATGATGCACTTCCCTCCCTGATTGAAGAAGTGTTTGAAAGCCAGATGTTTGTGCTCTGGATAATCTAAACCCAGGAATTTGTTATTCTGATGTATAGAAACCAAAGTTTGGAGCAACCTCAGCTCTGCTTTCAGCAGCTGATGGGAGTTTAAACCTTCAGCACCAGCAGACGAATCTTTATGCGTCTACTCTGTGAGGTTCGAGGAAAAGCACTGATGATGGAAAACTGCACCGGCTCATCTCAGTTTTTAAACCCACTCTTTGAATAGAACAATGAAACACCGAGGCAGCTAAAAGATGGATGTGACGGATTTGTTCAGGACTTTGGAGACCTGTGAAACGATCCAGATGTTTCAGCCACTCAGCAGCTCGTTAACACACTTACAGGCACAATCGAGAAAAATATGGACTTCCAAGAAATCGTTGCAGTTTTTCTCTGAACTCATGTGGTGAGAAAAATTACTTCAGGCAGGTCCGACCAAGAAACGTCTTCAAAACTATGCGAGTGTGCGAGCCTTCGAGTCCACCATTTATCATTTTGTGCTTGTTCTAACTCTGATAGAGGAGGCTAAACTGGTCAGACAGGCGACACTCTGAGACATTTAAAAAAGTCAAAGTTTGGTTGGAAAGCAAAGAGTCTTTTTTCTGTTCCAAGGAACAATTTTCAGTGTGACACAACATCTTTTTCTTTTAACAATCTGAAATGCAAATCCCTGCCCGCTCATCTTATCTCTACCACTGACGTTTACATCAGTTATTAGAGGTTTAGATTCCCGGGTCGCACAGATCTGTCATATCTGGTTTCAGTCTTTGTTCAGGTTCTTCACTCAGCACGGAAACCTGTTAGCGTGTTTGTTCACGCAGGGAAAGCCGGCGTTTCCATGGCTACAAACTCCAGGGGCTGGTTATTCTGACCAATGAGAGCAAATCCAGCCCTTCTGTTGCTTTTCATTGGAAATGCAGATCTGAGATCTGTGCCAATTTCTCTTACCAGTCCGTCAAACTGGAGCCAACCAGTTAACTTCAGGATGTTTTTAAAGTACAAACTCAGATGCACCAGTTTGCTAAATCAGATTTTAATTATTGGGAAAATTTCACCACTTCAAAAAGAGCCGAGGAGAAAAACGCGCCATGCATTTGTTATTCATTCGCCTCGTCAGCTCTCTGCTTTTACTAAAGTGGCTCTGACTCACAAACAGTGTTGGTCAAGTTACTTGAAAAAAGTAATCAGTAACTAATTACTGATTACTTCCCCCAAAAAGTAATCCCGTTACTTTACTGATTACTTATTTTCAAAAGTAATTAATTACTTAGTTACTTTTTAAAAACACGATTTACAACCTGAAGAGGTGATAAAGCGATAGATCTTTCAGCCCAATTCTACTTTTTCTGCATAATCCATCATACAAAATGTAATCAAATGGAAAAGTCTCTTTTTAAAACTTGTTTTATTAGTTTTAATCTTTTAACTTTATGCATCAAGCAAAAATTTAATTATATGCAACATTCTCTGACTGGAAGAAATTAGTTTAACATTTAAACCTATTTTCTGCACATTCCAGCACATAAAATAAAATATTTTTGTGTTTACACTCAGTCTTTCAAATAGATGCAAGTAAAACACAGCAGAAAATAAATAAAGTCAAAGACTCAGCGGTCCTGTTGCTCTATTTTCACCTGTAAAGCAGGAGTGGGGTAGGCGGAGGGTTACCCTGGTGCAGGTGTGCCGCGGTCAGTGGAAGAATCCGCGAGTTTCTCTGTGAGTTTCCCATTACGTCGTAGCTACTCGGTGCTTGTTGGAAGTTTAGGGGTTTTTTCGCTGTAAAAAGAAGTTTTCTTCCCACGCACAGCGGACACTCATGTTTTTGTCACTTTTTATGGAATCAAACTCAAAGTAAGGTCAGTACTTCCACGCTTTAAACGCTGCACGCTCATACTCTCTCTGCACTCGATATGTGATCCATTGTTGATCTGCACACAGCTGTTGTCACGAACGTCGCACTCGCTTACGTCACTGTCATGAGACATTCTCGCAAAAAAATCACGGTTTTAGTAACGCAGTAACGCAGCGTTCCTACGGGAAAGTAACGGTAATCTAATTACTGTTTTTGCAATAGTAATCCCTTACTTTACTCGTTAGCAAAAAAGTAATCGGATTACAGTAACACGTTACTGCCCATCTCTGCTCACAAATGACCTTTCTCCGGCTCTTCCTGCAGCCTCTCAGTCCTTCGTGTCTGAATCTTAAACTCTGAACTGAAGGAAACCCGACTGTTTCACCTCATCCGAGCCTTTTCTTCTGTTCTGAAAGCTGGCGAGGCCTGGATATTCCTAGTGGGCTCATCACCTTGCAGGTGGCCCAGAGACTTGACCACCTACTCTACCCTGACCAGCTGACATCTGCGACGAGGTGTGGTCAGATTTAAAACTGAATATTCAGAGCCCAAACACCTGGGATTCGTTTTGTGCATGTTTCTCCTCTTATTTGAGAGTTTGGAGATGTGAAAATATGCACAGCTGTAACAGTGATACAAACACAAAGGAAGCATTGTAAGCACACGTTAGCTAACCAGCAGACTGGTGTTACCCACAGAGTTATAATCATTAAAAAAATCCCCCCCTCGTGTCTGGCAGCTCTGACGAGGCGTCTCGCATTAGCTTAATTTACTGAAAGTGCCTCTAAAGCTGAACGAATGTTAATGGAGCCTGAAAAGAGGGCAGTGAGGGTCCAAAGATGAGAACTCCATAAAACTAAAACCCCTCAGCATGTTTTTGTTCAGAGTTAGGAAACCAACCAAAGCTCTGTTACTTAAAAATATTTGTGGTTTCCCAGAATTCTCACCGGGGCTAAAATCTGATATCGGTAGTCGCCACTGAAAACAAACAACATAAATTACGGAGTATTGTTAATGCACCGAGGACATAAACTGGCTCAAACATCAGGTCGGTGCAGCCAGAGACAGCAGCAGGAGTCTGGGCTGATTCGGTCTCTGTGCTGAAGGTGGTTCAAAACCAGGAAGTGATTATGTTAGTAACAGGAAACTGGCATGAACCTAATGACAGGACAGGGGAAGTGAAACTAAATACATTGAACAAAGAACACAAGACTCCTTCAAAATAAAACAGGAAACATGGAGAAAAAATACAATAATCAACAAAATAAAACTAAAATGTCTTGGTACTGGGTCGCACCGTGACATTTTTCTTCCTGTGCAATCGACTGGAAGGCAGACAATGGAGCACTACAGCAATACAGCTTTTGAGGAGCGGAGATGTGGATGGTCTTGGATGGTCTGTTAGCACAGTGACCTTACTTTTATTTTTATTGCACAACAGGACAAGAGTGTGACAGTAAAATTGGACAGAAGCTGCTAACACAGCTTTGGTCTTTGCAAGTGTCTGCACAGACAGCATGCTAACGCTAAGCTAGCCAAGAAGCCAGACTGGTGTTAGAGCTGAGCGCACGCCGACCCGAGCCTGCAGCCTGAGCGACGAGCACGCAGCCTCCGTTTCTACCTGTTCGTGTTTGTAGAGTCGTCTGCTGGTTTTCAACTTTGCTTTGTGCGTTTTAAGTTCAGACGTAAACACTAAGACAAAGATGTGAATCAGGCGGCTGGTGTGGATATTGATGCAGTGCCATAGCAGCGTCTCT